GTGCAAGCACTGGCACTAAGCCGAAAGCACCAGCCTGAAGATGGCGAGTGGGACCTCGCCGAAACGTTGCCTAGATACTTTGAATCTTACGCGGGAGAAAACCCGAATAACCAAAGATCCATATATATATATATATATATATATATATATACACACACACACACACATATACATACACATACACATACACATACACATATACATATACATATACATATACATATACATATACATATACATATATATGTATGGCATTCAGCTTTGTTCGGGTATTTTCCCACGTCATAGTAGTGGTGCTTTTAAAGTTGTAGCAACTTTTCGGCAGAATCTCATCTGCCATCATCAGGCTTCTGTATTGTGTTCGACGAAAAGCACAACTATAATGATGTGGGAAAATACCTGAACAAAGCTGAATACCATATATATATATATATGTATACACATACACACACACACACACACACACACACACACAAGTTTAAGTGTATATAATTATCCTATATAAATTGTATGTCTAATAGATAAATCAATTCATCGAGTATAAATATAGAAAACAGAATATATGGCATAAAATAGATACTGTTACAGATATTTATATATACTTTTTAAATATTTAAGTACTTAAGTAATCTGCAGATATTAGTCAATTCCCACTTCTTCTTCCTTCCTACTCCTTGTCAAACTGGCTGTCATGGCTTCGGACCCACTGTAGATCCTTGCATGGTTTTCTTGCATGCCAGTTTTAAGGGGTTTCCTCTCATCATAGCAAAAGGTTGCCTTTCTCCTCAGTACCCTTAAGGCTTCCCATCTAATTTGTGCTTCTCTCCAGGATCCACAATGCCCCAAATAGCTCCCAATCATGAAAAATCAGGCACAGGAGAATGGAGTTCACTCTCCTTGCTCCGCACCACCATGACGTCCCCACCAGAATATAGACTACTGAACATTAATCCACAGTACAGAAATGTATACCAATTTGTGAAACAATTATATGTATGCTAAAGTAACGCATTACAATTTGCTTAAATCTATTTAATAAAACTTAATGGAATGTCTAACTCACCATTTTGATTTGAAATCTTCCCTTCTGGACATGGAACACAGTTGTAGCAACATAATAGTTTTCCTTCCATCCCTTTTCTCCAATATCCAGGGGAGCAATGCTCATTACATAGAGAAATTGGAAGTACCTAGTCAGAAATACAAAAGGTTTTGCAAAGAGATATTTTTAAAAAGAGTTTCTAATTCTTCTTCAATATGGCAGGAAGCTATATTTGACTTCCCAATAGAATTTTATCTGAATTTTATCAAACTTTATATAAATTATGTAAAATTAACCTCTTTTCAATTGATAATTGCAACCCAAATATGAAATGTTTTCTCATTGTAATGTTTGTTTTGTAAATGCCTAAATATGGAGAGTATTTTTTCCAGAATATGCCTTTCTTCTTTCAAAAACAAAAATTAGATTTATAAATTATATAGATTCATACAGAGACAATGTTTAATATGGCTTTACAGGCAAAGACATATTCATGATATCATAATAAATCACTATATAGTCCATTCAATGTGTCCATACCTGGTTAAAAGCAGAATGCCAGATAATCATATCTTCATCAATGAATAATTCATTTCCTTTCGGAGCCTGTAGATCCATCTCTCCAACTCTAACTCTCTGAAAGGATCTGTTTGGAAAAGTAATCATGTTGGTGATGTCAAATCCCCCTGTTGTTTCCCCTTTCTCATTCAGGAACACTCTCTCCCCAGCTGAATTGTTAAAAGAAATGCCTTGAAGAAATGGATGGAGCTACTTCAAGGGAAAGAAAAAAGAGAGGGTATTTAGAACAATATAATGAGAAGAGACCATCATATTCAAGTTTCATTCACTCATTCTCCCCATTCCTACAGTAATGCTCAAATAGTTACCTTGAGAAAATCAATAGTCTATATTATACAGAACTGTATAGATTTTCTTTATTAATGATTTTAAGGAAAGATAGGAAAAAATGTCAATCAATAAAAACAATTTGAAAACATTTTATTTTGAATATGATTTAGATTTACATTCACTATATAAACAATCAACCAAACCCATAATCATATCCTCCACATATCTTTCTTCACTGCTGCAAAGCTATTTGAAAGCATAGGATATGATAAATTTCCTTTAACCAACTTTTAGAATATGAGACTCAAGAGGGTCTTCACAGACTTATATGGAGCAAAAGTATTCTGTCCCCCCTCATCTGTCTGTTTGAATGTCTGTCTGTCTGTCTGTCTACATTTATCTATCTATCTATCTATCTATCTATCTATCTATCTATCTATCTATCTATCTATCTATCTATCTAATATGACCCAATCTGAACTGATATGCAAATAATAAAGGTATAATAGAAAAAGTCTTCATAAATTTCAAGTCCCCAGTCTATAAGCCCTGACTTAAGTAAATTGCAAAAAAACTATTAAGAAGAGTGAAACATTCATATTTCAGAACAAACAAGCAAAAGAAAGAAAAAAGATTGCTTTCAGAGCTATTTTCATTGAATTCTTCTTGGAACGAGGCTGAAGAAATCTTAAAGGGAGGACAATTCTACATACAAATAAAATGGTTATTTATGGAAACAAGGATGATATAAAACCCCTATTGACGAGACTGAAATATGCAAAAGCATTTTATTTTCATCTCCTTTACTCTGTAACACAGAATGACCTCTTAAATTAATAACACTTTTTCTTTCATATCTGTAGCAAACAAGTCATATGATAATGTGGATGACAATGTCTATTCATTGAAAGACAATATAGTTGTGGTATGGATGCATCACCTGCCAAGGCTGCAGAGTTTGAAATTCAAACCTTTGGATTTCTCTGTGTGGGGCTCTTGATCTCACTGCCTCATGCAAAGAATGTGCCACTGCATAAACTGCATTGTAGATAGTGTAGCTTTGACCACTCATCTGCAACTCAAACAGAGGTGCAGGCAGAGTCTCCAAATTCTCTTCTCCACTACAAATTTCATTGATCATTGAGGGTGATTCTTCATTTGAAAATGAACAATCAAACAATTGCTCCCAAATCTCTTGAATAAATCCATCTTTGTGGGTTGAAGGTTTGATGACTTGAAGAAATTCTTTGAAGTCTTGAACTTCTCTTGAGTGCACTGTAAAGGAAAGAGCGCCATGGAACAATTGGAGATCCCAAGCCCTTTGAAGTCCTGTCAATATGAAATCAATTGGGAACATCAGGATCCAAACCTTTCTAAATGATACACTCTCTTTGTTTTCAAAATTATGGAGAAATACAACATTTCTGAGCCACAGAATTGTGAATGAATCACCATAGACAAGAAAAACATTGGCTTTCTGATCGATCAGTATATTAAAAAGAGTTGAGATTAGATCAAAGAATTCTGATAGTTTTTCAAATAGGGCTTGTGGGGGAATCTTTTGGATGAAGGCTGAACAGATCCCATTTTGGGAAAGCAACAGATGCATTTTCTCTAAGAAATGTTCTCCTTTATTCATAGCAAAAGTAAAGATTCCAATCCATGTCCATCCAAAATGGAGAAGAAGCTGTATAATTCCATTGTATTGATGCTCCTCTCTTGGAACCATGCAATAAAGTGAAGATAACTTAGTAGCCTGCAACTCTTCTTGGGAAAAAGAGCCATAGGTCAACTGAAGAAAAAACAAAGAGAGACAAAGTTATTATTCATGATAATGAAGGGAAAAATATGGAAACTGAATTATCTCCAAAGTTCACTACAAAAGAAGACCGATTTATCTCTTACTGCTCTGCCCAAATTACCTGTGGAATCTTGAAGAGATTTATACTTTTTGCCATATAAGAAGATGTAGAGGCATCTAATCCTCCAATAATGGCCATGAGATTCTTTTGGTTATCGCATTTGTAGTTTGGAAAAAATCCCTTAGATCTGAAAAGCAGGTCCAGAGTGGTGCGGTAGGTCATCCTTGGATTGTAGTAACTGTCATGGATGTGGAACCCAAGGGTGATGTTAGGTAAGATCTGGGAATCTTCATTGATCTTCTTCACAGCGAAGGCCAAGGCAAGGACATGTTGATACAATTTGGTGACGGCACTGCCAATAAGTTTTTTTTAAGAAATCCTATTGATTAATACTTTTAAACATTGTTAAAATTTGGCATCATTTCTAAATGTTATTCTAAATGAATAACAAACCTTTCTGTTTCTGATGGAAGTAGGATTATGAGAATTGCAAATAATAAAATACTAGAGTAATTTGATAGAATGTTTCCATGTATTTCCATGCTTTACAAAAAAAAGTGGATGGATTACACCTCAAGGTTCTGAAGGAACTGGCAGACGAGATCTCAGAATCACTGAACTATATCTATGAAAGATCCCGGAGCATCAAGGAACTGCCAGGGGACTGGAAAAGAGCTCATGTAGTTCCCATCTTCAAAAAAGGGAAAAAAATAGATCCAGGAGACTACAGACCTATAAGCCTGATCTCAATACCAGGGAAGATTCTGGAAAAAATAACCAAGCAATGAATCACTGAAAACCTAGAAGCAAACAAAGTAATAACCAAAAGCCAACATGGGTTTGTTAAAAAAGATGTTAGACTCTAGACAGAGTGCAGAGAAGAGCAACAAAGATGATTTGGGGACTGGAGGCTAAAACATATGAAGAACGGTTACAGAAACTGGGTATGTCTAGTCTAATGAAAAGAAGGACTGGGGGAGACATGATAACAGTGTTCTAATATCTCAGGAGCTGCCACAAAGAAGAGGGAGTCAAGCATCTATTCTATTCTGTTCTGTTCTGTCCTATCCTATTCTATTCTGTTCTGTTCTGTCCTATCCTATCCTATCCTACCCCATCCTATCCTATCTTATCCTATTATATAATATTATATTCATTACAGGAAAGAGAATAAGAACTTTTTTCCAAGGTACTACTTTTATTGTCTTTCAGCTTAGCATAAAACAAAATATGAACAGATTCAGCATTCATTTACTGCTTGCATGTTTTGTGAGGAATCATAATGCAGACCTTTTTTAAAAAAAAAAAAAATACATTCAGTTCACTGAAGATTCTTCAAAAAAAAAAAACTTCTTTTGGTGAACATTTAATGTGTGAGTGAAAAAGATTGTAAGACTTTAAAGTATTTTCATGAGAGATTAACTTAAAGAAAATATTTATTCTCCCACAACTAGATACACTCAAAAAACAAAGAAATTACATTAATTTGCAATACACTCATACAGCTTTTAATCATATAAGAAATATTTGGGGAGTTCAATAAAATTGGAGAACACATCTAAAGGAAAAAATAATATTACATTGGCAAGGGATAAGGTTTTAGAGAAGGAGGGTCCTTAAATTCAATTTCATAGAAGTTGTAATATATTTGAGACACCATCCCACCAATGACGAGATCTCCAGGCTGGAACCATTCATGTGGAACAGGGAAAGTAGGACTTGCAGGGCAGCTCAGAGTAATGGCTTTGGGAACTAAGAACATCAGAATGGACAACATCTTCATTCTATTGTTATGGAGAAAATGTCTGGCTCTGTCAGTCAAAGAGAAGTTCTGCCAGATAAAACAGGAGGAAGAGAATCTGTGGAAATTAACTTCATGGAGCAACCCCTTTGTGCCCTCAGGTGGCTCTAGAAGTAATTATATGGGTTGTTTCTCAATTCCTATTCCCTTCTGCTGACAACCTTTGATTGTTTTGCCTAAATGGATTTGTAAGGTATATAATTATATTTGAAACATTGGCAAGCTGGCATTTTTTCTTTCCATAGCTGATCAACATCTTTCTCTCTTTTGGGTCACCTAATAAGTGACTGATGGTTAACCAGTTTTAAAAATATTTGAAGAAATAGAATCGGGAAGATATTTTGAAGATTTTCTTTCACTTTTCTCTAGTTCTTCAAATTTATTCAGTAAAAAGTTATTGTGAGAAGTACATAAAAATGAATCAACAGACTTTTGATAATCTGATCCATAAGATGCTTTATTAGAGAAAATACTGCAGTATGGACCCCCTCTACTCAAGAAAAAAACATTTTCTAGGAGGAAGGAGACACTCCCATTTAGTGAATACAGCTTATATAGGTTTATCAAATCACATGGTTACGTAACACTTCCTGTTTCCCATATATGGACATTATATAATGTTTTCATAAAAAAGTTCCAACCTTCCATGGAAAACTTCCAACATTCTCATTATATTCAGATTTTGGCACATACTGCCTTCTAAATTCCTGTTTCCAATATGGCAGCAGTGCCTACCTAATCTTCAGCTTCCCCTTTAACAAAATATAGTGAGCCATTTCAACATAATTATTTCAATGGCTTCAAATCACCTAACAAATCCTCATCCACTTGTCCTTCTGCTTTCTTTTTAAATAGCTGTGTTTTCAACCCAGTTCAAATTTCCAACCACAGATGACAATTAACAAATACTAGGGGATGCTCTGTAAGTTTCAGTACACCAAAAGATCATATATTTCATCAGAAAGTTAGGAAGTGATTATCATACCTCTGCCATCTAGAATTATCTCCAAATTTCTCCAATTGTTGTGATTTTCTCACAGTGTATTTGCAGATGATGTTGGATGGCAGCTTGTAGCAGCCAATTATTTTTAAAAAAGACACCAACTCTCTCAACATCTCACCTAATGATCCCACATTTTCCTTCACTCTGCAGTCGTTTCTAAGAGCCCAAATTTTGCTCATTGCACTGTAATTGCTTCTCCCAAAATTTTTGTTGTTGGAATAAGGAAAAAACAAGAAAGATTCTAGTCCTTTAAATTTGGCTTCAGGCCACAAAATGTATTCAGCTCCTGTGTGACAGCATTAGTCTTGTAGATTCACCACTGACCAGGGAATTAATCTTATTAGCCACCATTAGGCATGGTGGCCTAGATGTGGAGCTCTAGCATCATAATAAATAAAGGTGTGAGTTTGATCCTAGGTAGAGACATATATATTTCTTTCTAGTAGCACAGGGAAAATATCTGCTTTGAGCTCTGTAGAGGCAGAAGGAAGGGCGTCCAGCCAGTAAATTCCCAACTCTACCCAATGCAAGGGATTACAGGATTCTTAAAACAAAATGACCAGGGCAAAATAAATAGTATCAATAGTAATAGGCACTTTGGTTGCTATCCGAAAACATCTGAAGTCTCACATAAACAACATCAGCATTGACAAATTCACCACTAGTCAACTGCATAAGACAGCATTATTTAGAACAGCTTACACTCTATAAATACCAGCAAAAATCATCCCAGGTCTCTGGAAAGAATTTACTGTATGAAAAAAAAAATCTGCCAAATTGACTCTGAACATTTAACTTGTGTGATGAACCATAACTAAAATAAAGAGCAAATGGTCCCTTTATTTTTTATTTTTGTCAACATTTTTTTCGTAGCAAGAAAAATCACATGGGTACTAATTTCTCTTTATGAGTTGCTTCCTGAGGTTGAGGTCAGGCTGCAAAACCATGATGTAGCACTTTGGCAGGAATATGCATCCCAGTAATGTAGCACTGGAAGGCAAAATGGAGAAGACCTCCACAGCTACCATGGTTTTTCCTTTTGTGCTCAGATAGGCTGGAAAGAAGGAGATCCACACACTGAGAAAGGCCAACATGTTCAAGGTGATGAAATTGGCTTCATTAAAGCTGTCAGGCAATTTAGGGTCAAGAAAAGCCACAATAAAGCTGGCAATTGCCAAGATACCCATGTACCCCAAGACACAGTAAAAGAAGAAAGCTGAGCCCTCATTGCACTGTAAAATCATTTCTTGGAGCTCTGAGTGCATGTCCAACTCAGGGAATGGGGGAGATGTTGACAACCAAATTATACAAATACAGACTTGGAAGAAAAAGCAGGAAAGCCAATCTTGAATTCCGACTTCCGGTTTGCAGGGCTTCAGCGGCAGGCAGGAATCTGCAATCGTGCGCGGTTTCTGCCTGGGCTCGCCGCTGGAGCACCCCGAGCCAGCTGGCTTCAGGGCTAAGCCACCCCATAGAGGTGGTGAAGACGGGGGAGATCGCCAGCAGGGTCGAGGAGAGCTGCATCTCTCCTCCTCAGCTGGTCAAACTCCCTTTCCCGAAGGCGGTAGGAGTGGCGGTCAGAAATGGCCACCTCAAAGAAGCACTCAATCGGAAAAGAAAGTGCAGGAGGAAGATAAGAAGTGAAAGTTTGGGCTGACCGGGATAAAAAGCAACAACTAAGGTACCCTGGAATTTAAATTTTATAAAAGATAACATCACTCCCAAAGAAGAGTCAGAAGCAGCGAAAGAAAGTGTAAAGGGAAATTTTTTTTTTCTTCTCTCTCCTTCCTCACATTGACAATGAAGAGAGCTGAATAAGAAATCAGAAAAATCCACTTTGGCACCAATAATTAAGCTGAAAATATAATTAAATGCTGAAGGGACAATAAGGATTTCTGGACAATAAAAAATCCTTTTTGTCTATAAGTAGGAAGGGAGAGGAAAAAAATAAGGGCAGGATCTGGAAGGAGGAGACTGCCTGGATTTTAAAAGAATCTAAATTTAAATCTCAATAAGACTTCTAAAAGATACATTTTAATTGGAACTTTGTAACTAAATAGTAACCCCAGGAAGAGAAAGTGAAAAAAGAAGAAAGTGTAAAATGAAACAGCCTCTGTGTATTTGGATTGCTTGGTGACTTTGGGATTTTTGGATATTACATTTGAATGACTAAAAACAATTGGGTGGTTGTTAAAAAAATTCTACAATGGCATTATCTCTGGATGAACTGAAAATGGAATTTAAAAAATATAAAAAAGAGACACAAGAAGGGAAGGGCTCCTTTGGCTCCGTTTTTCAATTTTTAGAAATGGCGATTCGTAACTATGAGAAACAACTAGAAAAGACTGCGCAACAAGAAGACTGGGACAAAGAAGAAGCCATCTTTAACGAACAAGTAACTCTATTTGGGGAAGAAAGGGGAAAGGGGGGGAAAGAGAATGGAGAATTTAAGACTTAAAGAAACAACCAAAAAAGGGAATAATAATTTGAAAAGTGGATATAATGTTGGAAAGCAACAGAAAAGGGGAATACAGAAGAGGGAAATGGA